CCAATTTTCGAGAGCGCCTTTTTTTCAAAAAATCGATATATCTCGAAAAATAATTAATATTTTTAAATTTTTCAAAAATGTACTTTTTTGGCTTGCCGCGGGCTATGCTTGCAGTAAATAGCAAATATGGGCACGTAAATGTAAACGAGTTATAGAAGAAGAGAAAAGAGAAGATTTTTAACGGTTTTTTCGATATATCTCGAAAAGTAACAAAGCAATCGATACTTTCAAAAAATCAGTCGATAGATCTTTTTAAAACCTACAACTTTCTCATTTAAAATTTTTCAATCCGTGCTATATTTTTTTAGTTATTTTAGAAAAACCGTTTTTTTCAACTTTGCGATTTTTTTTAACCATGTTCGCCATATTGGATCGAGTTTAAAGAACAAGAAACTCAATTTAAAATTTAATTTTCTATACGGTCATATTTTTTTTGTCCAGGTAATAATTTCTGCAAATTTAACATTAATCCGTGACAGAATGCTTGGACTATCTGACCACGTATTCACGTTCGGCGGGGTCTTAACCACATAAATGAACATTTGAATATAGAAGAAAATTTTGTTTGTATTTTTCCTAGCACTTTTTCATGAATTTTGGCTATTTTTGACTTGTTTTTTGAGGTTAGGAAATTCCTGTGATGTGATGGCTCAATTCTGACACCGGATTCGTGATCAGGAGGCAAAAATACTACGGATAACATATGTCGCATGAAAAGTAGACAACTTTTTTTTGTGTGGCTGTAGCTATCCGCGAATGCAGGCTAAGAGCTCGCCCTCTGGCGGTGACAAGTGATACTAGAGAAACAAGGTAAACATTTTTTGTGTGCATTTAAAATTGTGTTTAGTGTTTGTTTTTTGAATACTGTTATTTTAAGAAAATAGTGTGAGGAAAACTTCAGCAGTTATGGATAAAAAGAAGAAATTGTCGAACTATTATTGTTTAGTTCATGGTTGTTTTTCATGGTCCAAGAAAAATCCAGAATTGAGTTTTCATCAAACTATTGAAGAAATTTTCAAAATAATATTGTCGACAGACAACACTCCCTGAAATTCAAGAGGGTTGTTAGTAAGGGCACTAGTTTGCAGACATAATGAATAAATTTCTAAATTTATATCACTTTATCCAATTTCCCCACATAGTACCACATGACCAGCGTTAAAAACTGCCTCTTCTTCTGATATATGTACAACGAGAGTGTTCGTTGGCATTTAAATAGGAAATGTAGGTATTCGACAACGGATAACTTTACAATTATCACCGCAAAAATGTACATTAAATTGTAATGCTAGAAACAAACAAGGTAGACATAAATACTTACATTAAAATTTATTTATGAAATATTTGAAACCTATAATATAACACAAAAGTCAAATGTGGTTATTTGACTGTGGTAGTTTAATAACAAAATTACTAATAATGGGAAACGAATATTTGTAACGTACTTTGGTGACGGTCGGTTCTGATGTTACTTGTGGACACCCCGGTAGACTACCAACTCTAAACGGAATTTTAATTCGCAATTTCGAATTCTAATTTACAATATGTATAGGCGTCACTGACGTTCCTGCTTGGACGCTTAATTTTGTGACGACCCTTCACTACTGTTTTATCGGCAGCGGTGGTCGGCAGCTGGCGGCGATGTGTGACGTCACAGGAACGTACTCCGGATTATAATCTTTTTGTTCGGTTAGTGTCGTGTGCCAGTTTCTCTATCTTTTACGTGGGGGGAAACTCCACGTGAACCCTACCCTCGGTTTAGAGTAAGTACTCGGGATAGCTACAGTGAAGAAATTTTAAATCCAGGGGTCTGTTATATTTCTCTTACTTTTAATAAAAGTAGTTCTCTGAGTGTAGTGTTATTTTCCTTTTAAAATAGACGGTCTTATCAGTGTAGGTCACAAAAAGACAGTAAGACCTTTTTTTACTGATCGGAATTTTATCAATCTTATCGGCGTTAAAAATGTATACAACTGGAAATATCTTTACTAGATTTATTTTATATTACTAAGGCCTACGGAAATTGAAACAAACAAAAGTAAAATAGATTCTAATTACAATTATTATAACCAACTAAAATCAGAAATATAAAAATAATTTACAAGTGGTGTGAATAAAATAAAATTGGTTAGAGCAATTATTTACGACAGAATTAAAATGCCTATTCGGTTTTCCGGTGCTGTTAATAAATACAAAATTAGAACATAGTCAAATATCGGTGGTCAGGACACAAAAATCGGTACGGTAGGCAAATGCAGTATTAGGCGTTCGGTTTATTTTTACAATAAAGAATCTAATACTTTAAGACACGGAACGCCAAAATAGTTATTCGGTTTTAGTTGCGGTCGGTGCTAGAAAGAAAAGAAAGTTAGCAAATCAGAGTAGTAAATAATCAACAAATAAATCGGTCCTAAATGGCTCTGAAACAGAGAAAACTAATTACGGGTTACTCTAATTCTACAAATAAATATCGCCGGCGGTTTTTAGCAAAGCAACGGAAATTATGCGGAGTTAATACCAGCCAAGGAGAAAGCGAAGCAAGCAATATACAATGGCATAAATAAGCAAACGCTGATCAGGAACAGGAATAGTTTGGTTGACAGGAGGCAAAGTCTGAGCGAGGTCCATGTTCGATCGCGTAGCGGATTACAGATTTCTCCCAGAAGCGGTGGAGTACCCAGCCAACTTGGTGGGTCTATCCGTCGTTGCACAGCCAACACACAACGTCTTCCACTGGCGGTGGAGTATCCAGCCAAATCAGCAGTTTCAGTTATTGTGCCTTACAACGTTTATCAAGCTTGGGCGTGGCGGATGACAGATTTCTCCCGGAAGCTGTGGAGTACCCAGCCAACTTGGAGGGTCTATCCGTCGTTGCACAGCTAACACACAACGTCTTCCACTGGCGGTGGAATATCCAGCCAAACCAGCAGTTTCAGCTATTGTGCCTTACAACGTTTATCAAGCTTGGACGGTGGAAAACCCAGCCAACCGTCACTGACAACGCTGCTGTCGTACAGTCCGACACCTTCACGTCTTTTACTGGCGGTGGAGTACCCAGCCAACCAGCGGTTTCGGTAAAGGGACTCACAATGTTTGTCGAACGAGGGCTGTGGAGTACTCAGCCAACCCGTCGCCAATAACGCTGCTGCCGTACGAACCTGCACTCAACGTCTTCCACTGACGGTGAAGTACCCAGCCAAACCATCACCGACAACGCTGTGGTTGTACTGTCTTGCAAGAGTTCAAAATCGGCCAGACTTATACTATAGCAGGACAAGTGAATTTAGGAAAATACAATTTGCTTACTTATTCCGGATGGTTGCTTCCGGCGACCAACTCCTTAGGTCGGATGGCGGTTGGCAGGTCTTCGGTGGGGTTCTCCGAGTGGTTCTTGGGGTGGTTCTGGTGGGCGGTTTTAATCAGCGCGCGGATAATTGGTGCCAACTTGCCCAACTAAGCTAATTAATAAATAAATGGCCAACAGCCTTGCCCAAACGGTAACTTAAAACTAGTTCATTACATGTTGTTCAAATGAATGTGTAAACACGAACGCCAAGGTCAAAATTACCTTATCTCGGAGCTTACCGCTTTCGCTGCTTGGTGCGCTTGCATCTTAAAAATTATCGCGGATACTTACCGGTAAATTGTTTTTTTTTTTAGTCAGTATGGTATGAATTGTTTGCTGTTCTTCAGCACTAACTACGCTCGACATAATTACACACAATTATGCATCAAAAGACAACTAAAATCATAAAAGAAATCATTCGATTACAAGGAAATTGGCGACTAAGCCGACAGCTACACAGCTCGCGTGGCTGACTGACGGCGCCAATGGCTAGGTTACCGATTGTGACAGCTCTAGCAATAAGTCTTTAAAATTAAAACCCCACTTTGGAAAACACCCTGTATAAAATGCTTTACGTATATTCGGTAGAGAAATCTTAGGTTTAAATAATTAGTCACATACAAAAAATATAAATTTAAAGATTTTATTCAGTGTTATTTAAATATAATTAACGTATTACCGTTAATTCCAATAACATTAAAATTGGTTGTAAAGTAGTTAAAAAAGTATCGATTCGAGGAGCGATCATTTGGTTTCGAAAATTTGATAAAAATAAATAAAGGAGGTAGACATTAATCTTCAAATTTTATGAATAACTTATAAATTCTGATCTGTTTTTCATCGTGTTTTCTCCCATTTCGATTACGAGAAATGACACCGGTGAGAAACTCAAAAGGCCGCAGAGGTCATTCACAACGTCGAAGGCAACTCTGACGGTGCTGACACGTTAAGGGAACTTCGAGGCGCCATATTCTGAAGCACGGTTCAAATTTTTGCTAATTTCACACAACACGGATAATCCAAAATTTCTTTTTTAAGATCAAATACTTCCGAGGTCAGCTGAATAGTTTTTCCCAAAACTGACAAAAGAGCAGTTACACTCATATATCTAGACCGCTTTACGCTTTATAACATTTATAAATATATGGAAAAATTTAGTTTGGGCACTATTTTGTACCGAACACGAAATATAGGCGACAATTAAAAGAAATTGTGTACACTGAGCTGTATACTTACTTACCAAAAATATTGTAAATAAAGAAGTCTAGGAGGAATGGGTGAATCTGTTTTCAAATTTAATTTATAACTTTATGTAAGATAATTAATGGTAACTCAATTTACAACTTTGAGAATAATGTCTCTGACAATTAATTTTAATACGTGACTACTGGTATAGCGAGAGTAATCGTTAAAATTGAACCTTCTTGGCTAGTTATGGGAAGAAAGTGTTCAGAATTTAATATAACGTATTAACAAATTTATGTAAATTAGTAATATATTTTTTTTTAAATAAGTACATAGAAAGAACCTTTGTCTTTATTGAAAATATTAAATAAATTTGGTCTGATAAAAAATCACTCATTTTCTATCAAACGAATGATCATATAACATATAAAAATCTATTCACAAATTGTTAAAGAAGTTTCTGGTCAAAATGAGAGATGAAAAGATTTCTGTTAAAATCTAGGAATCCTTATCCAGATATAGAAATACAGAAAAAATGTATGTACATGTAAATGTGTATGTAATATGTATATAAACTGAAATATTGGAAATTACTTTATTTAGCAGAATCCTGCACAAAAGGATTGTCGATTAGTTCAGTGACGATATAGGGCACTTGGTGCGCTGCGATATTGTGCGGTACGTATTCGTCGACTAACGCATTCATAGCAGCACACATAAGCTAAACATCACTTAAATAAAATGCGCCTGAACGCTCTTCGAAAGTCCTTATTAAAAATTGTGTAAATAACAGGATTAAGTGCAGAGTTCATGTACCCTAGCCAAAACGCTGTTGAAAATGCTATTCCGGGAATATTATAACAAAGTCTTAATATATACATGAAAAAGAATGGCAACCAGCATGCTATGAAAGATCCCATTATCAGACCCAAAATAAGAGTTGCTCGTTTTTCTTTTTTTCTAGCAATACGACGTTTTTCTCTTTCAGGATCTCTAGGCTTTTGAACCCTTGGCACTGCATGTTGCAACATCACTTTTTCACTATGTGATTTTTGAGTTCTTTTTTCTTCACTTTTTTTAATTTTATTGTCCTTACTACGACCGAAAATTGGTTTACATAGTCTCAACTTTAAAGGTTTTACAGCTGAACACTGAGCCACCACACCAGAATCTGAACTGCTTGGATCAAATTCACTGACCATATCTGTATCAATACCCACGGAAGGTTGACGACTGCGTAGTGTTGCCGCAGCTTGCTGTTGAAGTTCACCATTAACGGATAAAGTCGATCCTCTAAACTGACACTGAGCCAAAGGATTTCGGATAACTTGAGCAGCGCTACCGAACACCTGAAATAAAAAGTAATATTTAAATTTATACCATAGAAGCGTCTATACATACAATGAATATAGAATAACGACGAATTTTGTTAAGGTGGCCATATTCCTGGCTGAGAAATAGTGAAATTTCTGGCGTTTTTAGGTACTGAAGTAAAACGTGTAGAACAAAAGTAAGCACAAAAATAAAATCCTTGATGTTTTGTTTATTCATTGTTACCATTTAAATTTACTCAAATAAAATAATAACTAAAAAAAAGCGTTTGTAAAACATGCGTTTGCTGTTATTCTAACCCCACATTTTAAGAATTATTATTATTATTATTTTCACGTACTTATAAATAAAAGTAATTTTATATGTAGGACTAAGCAAGTAAATTTTATAAGAATATTTACATATGGAAATATATATAAAAAAGTTAGTATTTTCGTAGATTTCAGTACCTAAAACCGTGATGGTTTGATCGTTTTTTGCACCTGTTTATTCGTTTTACTGCGGCGTCTTTGAAAATACTCAGGTGGCATGACATAACATTCCTATTATTTGATAAGCTTTAGACTATTCAGTTATTAAATGTTTGAAATTATTTGTCTTTGCGGAAAACACTATTTAAAGAATATGGGGCCCTTAACTTATATCTACGTTTTAATGAACATCAACGAATTGATTCGTTCGCTTCAGGACCAGGTACTGTATACAGGGTGTTTTCACTTTAAATTTGGAAAACGCAGGAATATATTCCCTATCAAAAATTAAGTGTAGTTTGCTCTATAAATTTTTTTTATGAAAGCCTTTGTTTTGGAGATACAGGGCGTTGAAGTTAAAAAAAAAATAAATACTTTTTGACATATCTCGGCTATACACGTGTAGATTTGATTTAAACTTGGTGCACATTATGCGTATTGGGGGTTCTCATAATTGGCAGAATATTTGTCTTATCCCATTAGCCAGTGGCGTGCAAAGGGGGATGCGTGGCCCCCTTTTTTTTAAAAAAAAGTACGCCATTAAGTTTTTCGAAGAATGTAAAGTAAATTTAAATACTACCATACAAAAGCAATCTAAAAGGCCTCTTGGTATTTTTCGATAATACGCAGCGTTCATGAGACTCTCGGACTATTAAGATTTCAATGCATGAAAAAAAAAATAATTACGACATTGAGTAGAGGAAAGTAATGAAAATATTTACAGGTTCTTGACTTGCTGCGAAACAAAAAAGTTGCTATAAATTTTAATGCAGCATTTGAATTCAAAGAAAAATATCTCTTTTTCTCATTCAGCACTACCGTGCCATGTTATCATGCATTGGAATCTTGATAGTCCACTATCACTTTATCACTTTTTACAAATTTACCATTAACGAGAATTTTATCTAGTATAACTGAAAATTGGAATGTAATTAATGAAATTTCAAGTTTGGATTTGGATAATTTTTTAATAGTTTTAAAATTTATTTTTGATTCTAATTATTGTGTTTTTGAAGGGGTTTATTACAAGCAAATCTTTGGTACCCCAATGGGGTCCACAATTTCACCTATTTTAGTTAATTATGTATTAGATGGTTTGGTTAGGGATTGCCTATCAAAATTGCATATTAATATACGGTTTGTAAAACGTTACGTAGATGATTTGATTCTGGCGGTTCCACAGAATGAGATAGATAACACTATAAGGGTTTTTAATAGTTATGATAATGACATCCAGTTCACCGTTGAAAGGAGCAGAACATAGGCTGCGCACTCTCATGGTTTGACAGATCCGTGTTATGCACACCTGGGTCACGAGTGTCGCTAGTGTTGCAGGATTTGCAGCGTGTTGCGCATCTTGGTGCGCGGATTCCAGTTCAGTAATATGTGCGTCACGTTGTTTTGTGCTTGTGTCGTTGAATGTGATTCGTTTCGGTTTTGGTGTTCTACTTTATATCTATTTATTTTTTTGTGAATTTGANGATTGCCTATCAAAATTGCATATTAATATACGGTTTGTAAAACGTTACGTAGATGATTTGATTCTGGCGGTTCCACAGAATGAGATAGATAACACTATAAGGGTTTTTAATAGTTATGATAATGACATCCAGTTCACCGTTGAAAGGAGCAGAACATAGGCTGCGCACTCTCATGGTTTGACAGATCTGTGTTATGCACACCTGGGTCACGAGTGTCGCTAGTGTTGCAGGATTTGCAGCGTGTTGCGCATATTGGTGCGCTGATTCCAGTTCAGTAATCTGTGCGTCACGTTGTTTTGTGCTTGTGTCGTTGAATGTGATTCGTTTCGGTTTTGGTGTTCTACTTTATATCTATTTATTTTTTTGTGAATTTGACTATTATTATATTTCCTGACGTTTGCCATAGCTGAATATAAAACTGTTTTAACTTGTTAAAAACTGTATGTAGTATGCAAAATTTTAATTTTCTTTGAAGGTCAGGAAAAAGTGGTGCGAAGCTGTAAACCGACCTGAATTAATAGATATAGAAGACAAAAGGAGATACAATTTTAGAATATGCGAAATTCACTTCACTGAGGATGATAAATTTGTTATGAATAAAAATCGCTCAAATTTAAAATTTTATGCTTTGCCAACTTTACATCTTCCAGGTATTTATCTAGAAACTTATCTTATAATTCGAATTAAGAGAAGATGCCACCAAATACGATGCTGCATGCCGGACTGATGGAGCAGCGAAATGTATCACTGCAGAGTTGCAGAAATAGGGAATACATTTGTCCGGCATGCAGTGGCATATTCGGTGGAATGTTTGCTTTACAAACCACGAAATTTTATCTTGACTTTATGTAACATACATACACCGTGGCCCACTAAGGACCAGGACACCCGTTTAAAAAATTTTTGGGACATCCGTTTTCAAAGATTTGTTTTTCATTTTTTTTAATTTTAGAAGGGTGTCCTAGTCCTAGTGAGCTACGCTGTATGTGGTCTAAAATGTTTACTTTTGGAGTTATTCTGCTTTTCTTGAGAATTTTCAGGATTATATCACTCAAATATTTCTGAAACCGATGACTTCATTTTTAATAATTATTCTTTAATCTATAAATAAAAAATAGGTCTGTAGTTTAATATGGGTTTTTATAAAATTTTACTCTCGTTTCAGTTACTTCTCAGGGAGATTCTGATTCTGTTGTAAATTCGCAGGTCGAAAATTCACAATCTATTCAGCCCATTAGAGGTAATAAACAGAGATTTGCATTTAAGTAGATAAAAAGAGACTCACTTCTAATAAAACTGTCTTCAAGAAAAATATACATTAAAAATTGTACATTCTGAATTATTAATGTATCAAATCGATTTTAATTGAGATA